AGAGGAATACTCCCGCCGAAGCGAACTGGGGACACCAGGACTAGTCCTCCTTTGTCTGCACCGCAGCCTGGCTGCGCCATTTCTGTTGCCCACGTCGCAGCGCTCCGCCATTTTGTCCATTTCGGGGCGGGGGTGACTTGTGACATTTTTTCTTTCTGAGGTTTTCCACACCTGTGCTAGCTACACGTACTTTCCTTCGGAAATCATTCTTGTGTATTCCCATTTCATGTGGCTGGCGTTCTTGTGCAACGTAGAACAGAGACTATGGGGCAGGTAGAGACAGAATCTCAAGGGTTCCTGAGGAAGGAGTGCGAGGGGGCTCTCTAAGTGAATTACTGGGTTGTGTCTGAGAACCAGATAGGAGTAGTTTTAGGGGAAAGCAAATGGGGCCTTTGTTCACTTTCAGGAATCATTCTGACACCGTCATTTAAATATCAGTTTCGTGATCACTCAGAACATCAAGAGTTTTGTGTTAAACGTTAGTTCTGGGCTAACCGGACTCTTGGACATCGTTTCCCTGACTCCCGAGGAATACTACGCCCCTGCCACGGAGATCCAGCCCAGGAGCAGCTAGCTGATTTTCTCTCCCCACCACAGCCCAGCAAGAATCCTCTCTAGCTGAGTTTCTCCCTTCAGCCAACCATCTAGAAAACCGTTGACTTTATCCTAACTGTTGCCATGTCACAAGTGGAAGGATATTCATCCATTCATCATTGGAGCGCGCCCCCTTTTGCCATTGTCCCATGTATTCCTTTTTCGCGCCATTTTTTTTTTTTTTTTTTTACTTGTTAAAATCCTCAAACATGCAGGGAAATAGACATGTTTGACAGAACATTTCCCCGTGTTTACTCTTGTGTATTCACGTTTTGAAAGTAAATTTCTTGGTTCATCCAAAACAGTTTACACTGTGTCTCTAAAGTAGCATTTTTCTACTTAATGACACTGCTGTTGTCGTCCTCAGTGAGATAATTCCTTAATGAGGCCATCTGTCTGCTCTGTGTCCATAGTTCCCAAGTCATCTCCAAAATGTCTTCCACGGTTGATTTGTTCAAAAATGGTTGTGTTTAAGGGTCTCTGGTCATTGCTTACGCTGCTTGTATTTTAGGTTTCTCTTTTCCTCTTCATTTACCCCAACAGTTTCTTTCAAGGGATTTGCATCTTAGCTTTAATTGTTTACGGTCAGTAGCAGGTATAGCCAATGTTGGAAATCTGCAAAACCAGGCAAGGGGGTTAGCAGGTTCTCTCCGTGTAATGGGTTTGAGGACAGTCCCTTGTGGGGACTGGGGAGTGACACTGGGGAGGTGAGGGCATTTTGGTGTCACCACAGGGAAGGCTGTGGGCATTTGTACGTCCTATGGATTTTGTGTTTTCCAGTCTCTAAGCACTGTTAGCTTGCTTGGCCTCTGTCCCTGAAGGTAAGTGGCCTTGGGACCTGGTTGCAGAGGGACTGGAGCTCCCATGATGTCTAGCACTGGGCTCCGATCACCCCTGAGGACACAGTGCCCCCCAGGACCTTTGACACCTGGGGGTCTGAGGGGCCCTGGTTTTGATGTTCTTTGGACCCCCCCAGACTGTTTCTTCCCCTACCCTCACCAGATCCTTCCTGTGTTACAGGTGTGTCTTCAAGCTGAGGGCCCACCCACCTTGGTAAGAACCCTTGCTCCCAGTCCCTGACCCACCCAGGTCTAAAATATCTCACCCTCACTTGGGGTGACTTCACATCAGATATCTCTGGGACCTAATTTTATATGCCAGCAATCATGCATATCCCAGCTCTGCTGTTCTTGGGCTTAGGGATGTTAGTCAAGTGATTGGTCTCCTGAGCCTCAGTTCCTGTGTCTGTAGAGTGGGCACAACACATCAAAGGTAAGGGTTGAATATGACGGAATATATGGGCTGTAGAAGAGGAAAATATTAGTCACTTTTTGGTGTCCATGGGGGAGTGGCTCCAGGGCCCCGCGGATATGGAGGGCCCAGTGTATGTTTTGGGGTTTCAGGGAAAAGGACTAATCAGAAATCTAATTTTCAAACTCAGCAGAAGAAAAGAAACAGAAGGGCTCAAAGCATTATCACTCACACTGCGGGGAGGTGGGGGTGGTTTGTAGACTAAATACAGTGTACCTTTCAGCAAAGATTAGGCAGCTTCCCATGCATCATGTATATGTAAACTGATAGAGTTGTTAAGGTTACCCTCAATTTATACAATACTTGTTGTCAGAGAACATGGTATATCTGGAGAATGTTTCATGAATGTTTCACATTGGAGAATGTTTCACAGATGTTTCAAAGAGCTAAGTAAATCATCAAATGGGCATGGGTATGTGTGTTACCCAAAAAGAAACGTGCTCCCAGCCCTAGGAAGGTTTTTTTCTCTGTTCAGTGAGGTCTGGGCCTAAATCTATATTCCCATTAATAAGGATGACTTGATACTAATACAGGTATGTCTTCACCTGTATTTAGATTACTTTCTAAATACATAATATGGAGAACTGAAAGTGTAGCCTGTGGAGTTCTCAGAGGTTTAGATTCTCGCCAACAGGTACCTTAGGGGGCGAGGAGCTGCGTCCTGTGAAGGGTTAGCTCAGAATGCGGACCATCTGAGCATCTTTCTGGGGGGCTGTTCTCTTCATCCGAGGTGTCCTCTGCAGAGCTCTGAAGGTTTGCTGTGGGCTGAGAGGGAATTTCTGGGATAATGTGGAGTAGAGAGAGTGTCAGTTGGGCGGGGATACTTGAGGGGGGTGAGAAGAGGGAGCGCTGACAGCAGGACAGGGAAACCCTAAGGGGTGTGTAACATCTGTCAATGTCTGAGGCACTGCTGCCCAGCAGAACTGGCAAGGTGGAAATGTTCTATTCTGCATTGCCCAGTCCGGGGGCAGCGGAGTTGGGGTGTGGGGTTTGAGGACACTGGGACCCCCATGATGTCCAGCACTGGGCTCTGATCTCTGTTGAGGACACAGTGCCCCCCGGGACCTTTGACACCCGGGGGTCTGAGTGGGGGGGTCCCGTCTCTGGGGAGGGACGGATGGGGGCTATGGTTGCCCTGCACCCTATAACCTCTCCATCCCCCCATCCTTCCTGTCTGCAGGTGGTTCCCCCAGGAGTTGAGCAGCCCTCGGTAAGAACAGAAGAGACTCCCCTTACTATTAATGCTGTAATAATCATATTAAACTTATTATATTATAAATTTATTGTTAATACAATTTATAGAGTATGGTAATATTAATATAATAAGGACAGATGCTGAGTACTTAGTCTGAGCCAGGCTGCATTCCTGAGCACTAGATTCATTTAATCGTCACAATAACCCCATTATTTGAAATCGGTGCAGTTTTGTCCGTATTTCACAGGTGAGATGGAGGCACATAGAGGTTGTGGTTTGCCCACACTCGTCTCCTTGTGGCGGGGAGGGGGCTTATTTCTGCAGCCTCCATCCATGTTCAGGTGCAACAGGGTGATGGGGGCTTTCTCTGTACCACCCCCCTTCTTCCCTACAGTTGATACAGGACCAGTGAGGTTGGTTTTGATCCCCGGTTCTGCCACTTTTGACCTTAGGGCGTGATTTGTCTGCGCGGATCTGGCTGAGGGGTAGGCTCCCTGGTGTGTGTGCTGTGGGCACCCCCCCCCCCCCCCCCCC